GGTCTCCGAGAGGGCACCCAGACTTTGCGTTGGCCCTAGCGTTTGTTGACTGTACAGTTGCGGAATCCCGTCGGGTTTGCAGCCACCCCCTTCACCCCCCGGCCCAGACCGCAAAGTGTGTTCTGCTGCCTGCCTGGGACGTGGCGGTGTGGCTTCATTCCGAGGTTCGCACACAAATACACAAATGAATTTTTGGACCGGGGATCAGGCGGAGCCATCCGAGTATCCGGAAACGCTGGATAAATTTGGAAGGAATTTCTGACGCTTTTTTCGATTTTTTTCGGCCTTTCGGAGCCCCGAGTAACTGAACTGGATCCTCAAGACTTTTTTGCGTTATGTATATGGACCAGGAAAGCCCGGTTTAAGTAAGCATAAGGCTGGTTTTGAACGTTAAAATTAGCATAAATCCTGTCCGCTCCCTCTCGCCTGAACCCACTCACTACCCAGAACTTTGCAGTAGCAGTTCCGGTTGGAACGTTGCCAATTGTAGATGAGCCCGAATCTACGGGGCTTCCTTATCCCTTCAAGGCGGACGAAAATTGTGAGAAATGGGAGGATCTACAGGGTGTCCCAATAAAAAAACCCCGCCGCTAATTCGGCGCAAAAAAATCGGATCGGAGTGATAGTTACACCATTCGAAAGCCCTTCAAACGGCGAATTTGCAACAACCTTCAAAACCATGTTTTGATTTGAACACGCCATTTTTCAACGTGTTTAAAAACAGTAAAAAACACCCTCTGCATCTAATTAACGGCTACTCCCGTTCCTTTTGTATGGAGAATTCCAGGCAGATTAGCTCGTGTGTAACCCCGAGAAGCGGTGAAATTTTACAAAATGGCTTGTAAAATGGCGGATTTAAATAAAAACATGGTTTTTAAATTTGTTGCAAACCCGCCATTTTAAGGAATTTTGAATGGTGTAACTATCATTCCGGTCCGATACTTCCACGTCGAGTTAGAGGGGGGTGTGTTTTTTATTGGGACACCCTGTACAGTGTCCTAAATACCAAAATTTAATTGCACCAAGAAAATTTCGGGACGGCATCGCCGCGTTTTTGGATTCAATTTATGCGCCCGGAATTACTCGGAAAATTGCAAAAGTTTGAAACTGGAGTTTTTGAATTTGAATTTGAGTCATTTTACAGTCGTTTTAAACGTACTGCTAAAACCGTAGCGTGCGCATTGAAACGTAGCTTACGGTGTTATATTGATTTGCATTAAAAAAAACATTTTTCTCTGTTTCCCGCGCCTGAGATTTTTTACCCTAGACACTGCATTGCGTTGTTGAAACCAGTTTTTATTAATTTTCATGCCGGTTTCAAGTAAAAAAATAACGTTTTTGTAGTTTAACAAATTTGAATAATTTTTCGAGACAAATTTTTCCGTGCTTAGGGTCCTGCGGCTGATTTGGAGTTATTTTTTTTGGCGGGATCCCATTATTTAGCCACTCCGGCCAAACTATCAACAACTTACCGTCGAAAAGCGCCGGAAAATGATGGTTTTCGTCAAAAACATCTGCTTTGGAGGAAAGTACATTTTTCGTTCTTTTTATACCCTATAAAATACGTACTTTGATGTCTGACGCAACTCGTCACCCTCAACTTTGCAGTCTTATCACGATTTGTGATCCGCGGGTCGAACCCTGTCGCCCAGACGCCTTTTTCGGCCAACGGAAATTTCCTGACGATTACTGTTCGGATCTTCACAGCCCGATAACTAGCCCTGAGGTTTAATGTTTCATAAAAATTTGAGGGTGAGCGGAACGTTTGAACGCTTATTCCAGTTTTGACTGGTTCTATTGACCTCAATTTGATAAAGCAATAGTACATTTCAGCTGCTTTTATTTGATTTCTTCGACGATTTTTCTGAAGATTTAGTGCATTGGGACTACAGAATTCAGTCCATTGTGATGTCCTTGCGATTTTACTCCAAATAATTTTATTTCCAGTTGTGTGTCAAGACGTCGATTTTTCCCCCCTCTCGCTGTCACAGGCTATGTATTGCACTCTTACTCTCTCACCCTCTCTCCCTCTCTCCATCTCTCTCTCGCTCTCGCTCTCTCTCTCTCCCTCTCTCTCTTTTGCTTTTCTAAGCAATAGCATTTCGAAAATGGTTTTCAAAGTAAAGGCGTATCCAAAACATGATTTTCAAAGCCATGATGTTTTGACATAATGATGTACTCTTTTTCTCTCTCGCTCTCAATCTCTCTCACGCTCTCACACTCTCTCACTCGCTCTCGGTCTCATCGCTCTCTCAGTCTCCATCTCTCTCTCTCTCTCTCTCTCTCTCTCTCTCTCTCTCTCTCTCTCTCTTTCTCTCTCTTTCTCTCTCTCTCTCGGCATCCATCCCTCTCTCTCGCTCTCTCGCTTTCTCTCTCTTCGATTATCCTGGCGTAATAGATTAGTCGCTTTTAAAATAAAAGAATTTTCATTTATAGTTACGATAACAGTTGAAGGCTCCTGCGCAACATGACTATCCAAATCATACTTTAGTATAAACACATTATCCGTCGGGGCCCAATCTTTGTTTCAGTGCTTTTTGTACCTGCCTGCAGCGCTTTTGTCCCATTTTGGCCTCTCTGCCTCTTCCCGCCGACCCCGATCTTGTACAGTCTACCTCCCGCCCCTACTTTTTCCTTACTCGGGCTCCACGTGATTTCCGATCGACTAGCCGATGAATCCCTTGATGTACTCCGGCGATAAGAGGAGAACCGATCGCGCCGCCCCGATCCCCGGCCAGACGGGCAGACAGCCCGCACCTCTTTTTTCTATTGGTTACCTAGCCGCGTGAGAGAGTAACGTCTGGTTCCGGGAACTCGATTTTCCCTCCCCATTTTTTTCCGCTTTTATCGTTCGTTGCTGGACCACAGAAAGTTCGCGAAACTAAAACACCTTACCAGTTTGTAGGATTTCAATTTTAGTAAATTTCAATTTTTATTGAATTGCCTTCTATTTTGACCTGGACTATGAGCTTCTTTGAAGCCATTTAAGCTTTGAAAAACCTCTTATACAAATAGGAATGTCGACTTTTTTAGAAAAGCGTTGAACAAAATAAATCCTAGTTTTTAAGCTCGGTTTTAACCTCCTTTTTAAATTTTTAGGCTCTTTGATTTGCATACGCCCGTAGCAGCCAAAATTTTCAGATCAGCCGCCAACAAAAGAGCTTGAAGAAAAAGGAAATCAACGGCTTTGAGTTAGGTTTTTTGTTTTTGTTGATTTTTTTGGGTTTTATAGCGATTTTTCGGTTTTTTTGGCAGCCCTAAAACTGCTTGACGGATTACTGTAGCCGAGGAGTACTTAGGGCTCCCTTAAGAGCACACGGAAATTAGCGACCACCTGCCCTATTATTTGGATGCCTTTCGTGGCTTCATAAAAGGATTCCAATTTCAGCACAATCCGTACTTGTCGTTCCCGTGCCCTTTGTTGCAGTTTCTGGGTACTTACCGTACTTCGTTTTTACGTTTTTTTACGTTTTTCTTCACTTCCAAGGGCTTCTAAAGCTGACGAGAAAATCTGAGGTTTTTCGGCTTTGGAAAGTTACTACGATAAATACAAGCGGCTTCAAGCATTTTTTTTCACTTTAGGTCAGGCTCTATGCTATTTCTCTAATACCGTCTAATTTTGGATTATTTTGCGACATTGTGGCTGCTCAGAATTTTTTACATTTTTAACGGGTTTCTCCCGATTCATTGTGGTCACAAAAAAAATTATTCTCTAGTCATTTTACCTGAAATTCTGCTTAAAAATTTTTGAACACTTAAGAGAGCCGTTTTTTGGGCTACTACTTATTTCCGGATCAGCCCAATCAATTACGCAGTGAAATTCAAACCTAAGCGTTTTAAGACCGGTTCAAAATCATCTTTCTCACTCCGAAATGTACATCCCCGGCCACGTGGCCTATATTTGAGCCGATCCGGGTGCACATCGACCCCGCCCTGCTGCACTCGATTGGTCGATCCGTACTTTTTCCACCTCTCATATTCACCCCCGGTGCATCTCGATATCTCCTGCGGGCTAGGAACTTTTGTTGTGCTCTGCGCCCCGGGGCATAGAACGGGTTCCTACCCCTTGCCCACATCCTTGCACAGAAAATACAGGTGGATCTTACATTCTCACGGTCACTCTATCCCGCTCTCTCTCTCTCTCTCTCTCTCTCTCTCTCTCTCTCTCTCTCTCTCTCTCTCTCTCTCTCTCTCTCTCTCTCTCTCTCTCTCTCTCTCTCTCTCTCTCTCTCTCTCTCTCTCTCTCTCTCTCTCTCTCTCTCTCTCTCTCTCTCTCTCTCTCTCTCTCTCTCTCTTTCTATCTCTCGCTCTCTCTCGCTCTCTCTCTCTCTTTACCGCTCGATCTCTCTCACTAGCCATTTGTTCCCGACCGTTCCACACCGTTCGCCCAATTTACCCAAATCCGGCCCCGAGATCCGTCTTTCCAATTATTTTTTTCCTAGTGACAGATTGTATGAGTTATGAGCGGTTTCGGGTGAGAAATGATGATAAGCGATCAGGGCCGTGGCTTTTACAACCCCTGAGAGTGAGATGAGATTTTTAACAGCCCTTTTTACACGGATTATCTGGGTTACGGTACGGCGAGAACCGTTTTTTGTGACCTTTGAGGAATGCCGATCTGTCTGGGTTTTTCTGTTGTTTTTCTGTTATATGTTTTTTTCTTTAACTCTCTCTCTCTCTCTCTCTCTCTCTCTCTCATTATCTTTATCCGTGGCACCCCCTGAATGCCGCCTTCATAAAAGAATCCAGATCTCTAAAAAATCCGGCCACCCGATTTGTGGCTAAAAAAAACTTCGGGCTACTCTCATTCCATATTACTGTACTTACGATGCTCTTCGAGTTTTCGGTGAAGTTGTTTAGTTTACCTTAGACAAATTTATGCGTAAAAATTCCCTGAAACCATTTAAAAATGCACCCCTTGACAAAAATATACAGCAACTTCTCTAAAAAAACAACGACATGCAACTTCCACTACTGCCCTTCCGTACTCTACCTTTTTTATGATGTTAATCAAATTTTTCCAGGCCCTCCGGATGGCCAAAGATGGGATGGAGAAGCCCGCGAACCCTGGATTATTGGCCGAGGACGAGCCATCACCCTCGACGTCGGCCAAGTCGCCGGAAGGGCCGGAAGAGCCGGTCGGAGGAGCGGGAGTAGCGCTAGTATCCAACTGCCAACTCTCACCGATTTGTACCGTATGCCAGAAAGCGCCCGGCCGGAACAACTATGGAGGCATCTGTTGCTCGTGAGTTTTTGAGGTTCTGTTGCTTCTGTTTAGTTAGGGGTAAAATCACTACCCCGAAAAGTCATTACCCCAAAAAGTCACCACCCCGAAAAAATTTGCATGTTTTTCATAGAAATCTGAATCAAAACTGGATTTTCCGGGAAAAACAATGCTGTCATTTTTCGGGGTAAACGATTTCGGGGTAGTGGCTTTTCGGGGTAGTGACTTTTCGGGGTAGCGACTTTTCGGGGTAGTGACCGGACGCCGTTTAGTCAGTATTACCTTGCTCACTCGCTGCACCTTTCTCACTCTCTCCCTCTCTCTCTCTCTCTCTCTCCCTATGCCTCGCTACCTCTTTCGCTATTCACATCCTTTCTATCAATCGCCTAGTTTTCTCCTGCTCACCCTCTATTGCTTTCTCCCTTGCTCTCTCGCGCCCTCGTGCTCGCTCTCTTGCTCTTTCTCTCTATCGCCTTGTATCGTGCTATATTCTCTCAGTTTCCTTATCCAATTGCATCGTGCTCATGCTTTGTCCCGCTTTCTCTCTCGCTCTCTCTCACTCTCTCTCTCGCTCTCTCTCACTTCCCAGCCCCCTTAAACCGACACCCTCTCCACCGTATTTTCATCAAACTAAACACTCGCGAGGGTCCACACCCCCCATCTATCGAGGTGACGGCGCCTAAGTACCCATCGAGCTCGATTTATTTACCTTTTCGGGCGGGGGCACCAGAATACACTCTTTTCGGGGCTGAGCGCGTGCAAGCGCTGCAGGACCCCGCGATCTAGATCCATTTTGCAGAATTCTCGGGGGTCTTGGGGGCCACACTGGTCTTATACTAGTCCGATCACTAGAGAGGGTTGAAAAACGAGATAAGCTTGGGCTTGGGCTTAGGCTTGGGCCTAGGCTTGGGCTTAGGCTTGGGCCTAGGCTTGGGCTTAGGCTTGGGCTTAGGCTTGGGCTTAGGCTTAGGCTTGGGCTTGGGCTTGGGCTTAGGCTTGGGCTTAGGCTTGGGCTTAGGCTTGGGCTTAGGCTTGGGCTTAGGCTTGGGCTTAGGCTTGGGCTTAGGCTTGGGCTTAGGCTTGGGCTTGGGCTTGGGCTTAGGCTTGGGCTTAGGCTTGGGCCTAGGCTTGGGCTTAGGCTTGGGCCTAGGCTTGGGCTTAGGCTTGGGCTTAGGCTTGGGCTTGGGCTTGGGCTTGGGCTTAGGCTTGGGCTTAGGCTTGGGCTTAGGCTTGGGCTTAGGCTTGGGCTTAGGCTTGGGCTTAGGCTTGGGCTTAGGCTTGGGCTTAGGCTTGGGCTTAGGCTTGGGCTTAGGCTTGGGCTTAGGCTTGGGCTTAAGCTTGGCTTCAGTAAATAAATGTCCGGTTTCCTTGGATCCTAGGCTAAGGCGCAGGCTTGAAATTAGGATGAGGCACTGACTCGGCTTAGCGTAGGCATGGGCGTAAGCTTGGCTTGTGCTCAGCTTAGGCTTAGTTTAGGCTTACTCAGGCCTCGGCTAGAGCATGGGCTTCGGCTTATGGTCCGGCGTAGACTTAGGGCTTGGGCTTAGGCTTCGCTTAGGCAAAGGCTTATGCATAGGCTTTAACTTAGGCTTAATCTCAGTTTGGCTTAGGTTGGCTAGCTTCGGAGTAACCTAAGGCTTGTCTCGGCTCAGCTTGTGCTCAGCTTCGACTTACCAGCCGCAGACATTACCTCTTTTTGGCCAAGTTTCCATCAACCTTATTTCCCAAGCCGAAAGTACGCCCATCCCAAAGTACACCCCACTCACCGGAGCTGAACGTGCAAAGCGGCCCTTTTCACGCCCGGGGCCGCATTCCGTTACTGATGCAGTTGCAGGCCGGTGGCCCCTCCCAGCTACGCACAATGAATTGTGGCGGAGCGCGAACCGTGTTTGCTAAACTGCGGACGGGCCATGTGTGTGTGCCCCCCAGAGGGGTGGGGGTGGTTGACACTGCAATTTTTTGCGGGTTGGTCTGGTCACGGGACCCTGTGGCTGCTGCTGCTGGCCACCGCCGACAGTCCAAGAGAAGGTATGAAAAGAACGGTCAAATGGGGGCCGGGCGCGCGGGAGCGTGCAGCAGTTGCAAACGCGCGTTTTTTGGGATAGCCCCCGGGGGGTTCGGGCAATGATCTGGGGATCGGGAAATTAATTTCCAATTTCAAGTTGAGTTACGCGGCCAGGAACAATTGTGGCGATGAAGAATTCTAGAAATCCAATGGCTTTGCAGTTTTCTTCTTTGTCTCGCTCTTTTCTTGCTTTCTCTCTACCTTTCTCTATCTTTCTAACTGTCTCTCTCTCGCTCTCTCTCTCTCTCTCTCGCTATCTCTCTTTTTCTCTCTCTCTATTTCTCTCCTGTGCTCTTTCTTGCTTTCGCTCTATCGCATTCTCTCTCTATCGCTCTCTCTCTCTCTCTCTCTCTCTCTCTCTCTCTCAGATAGCCCCAGGAATTAAAAAATTACTAATGACGATTTTTACGTTTGTTTTCAGCAGCTGCAAGATCTTCTTCCTCCGTGCGGCCACCAAGGGTTTCGAGCCAGTCTGCAGACAGCTGAGCAAATGTCAATTCAGTGGGTTTCCGGAAAACATTATGGCCCCTTCTATGTGTCCCCGCGCTGCCTCTCACTCTGTCTTTCTCTCTCGCTCCCTCTTTCCCTCTCTCAGGTTTTCCTCTCGTTTTCTCTCTCTCGCTTTGGCCAGTTCTTTAACAATAATTTTCAGTAATGAACAAGTGCAAGGGGTGCCGATACGCGAGATGCTTGGAAGTCGGCATGGTGCCGGAAAGTGAGTGATTTTCAGTTTTTCTCGATTAGTCTCCTGCTCTCCCTCCCTATCTGTCTATCTCACTCTCTCTCCCTCTCTCTCTCTCTCTCTCTCTCTCTCTCTCTCTCTCTCTCTCTCTCTCCCTCTCGCCCTAGACGCTAAAAAAAGCTCGCCGGCAAGCTCGACAAGTACGGTACCCATGCCCCGTGATTTCGCGCTGACCTCACCAGCCAGCCACTCGCCCACGATCAGCAAACAGAAAATGTTCGCAACCTGAGCAGGCCATCTGAAGGGGGAGGGCGGCTGACAGCCAACTCGGAGCGTTCTTTGTCCAAAGACCACTTGGTCGGTTTTGGGGACTCCGGGGTACTGTAATGGGCGCGGAGCCAGAGATCAAATCGTTGGGTAGTTGGTTACCTTAGTTAGTTAGTTACTTACTTAGTTAAGGGTATCATCCATGTCAAAAGGTAAATATAACCTAGCGCCAGAATACTGCTTATGCCATCGAGCTTCAGCCAATTTTCGTCATTTCCGGCTCGGTCTTTCTGACAGCGCGCGACTGATCACTTTAATCTTGGAAAGCGCCCTACCCGGCAATTTACACTAGCAATACATTGTTCCGTTCGTTATCTGATTACAGTTTTCGGGTTGCCGTACTTACGCCAGAATTCGCCACCTAAAATTAAGTAAATTGGCGGCTTTTCAGCTTGGCAATTGCAAGATTCGGCAAAAAGTGAAAAGATACCTGTAAAAATTACCGTGATGGATTCAGAATTTTAGCGTCCTTCAAAAAGCTAAAACGTACAGAAAAAATCACATAAAAAAAATTCAAATTAGCTGATGCGTAATGGGTGTGGCGCGTAGTTCTCGAAATCCGAGTGTTTAAAAGGCCGTCCGCGAGTCACCCGAACAGACCCCATTATGGCTTGGCACAGCTTTTTTCGACCCTGTTTTTTTGACGCCATCCTAAAGAGCATGGTCGAATTAGTAGGGTGGGATGCTTTTTAAAGTTTAAAAAGTTTAATTTTGGAGTTAAAATGGGCCTCAAAGTCGCCGACACCGAAAAATTATCTCGAAAACTACTGAACCGATTTTACTGAAATTTTGCGACAATACATAATTTGAGACGGAGATCATTTCTCTAATACATTGCAACACCTGAAAATGGCAGGAACATAGGTATACCGCGTAGTGAAAACAGTTTTCGCGGAATTAGTAGTTTTACGGGTCTTCAGAGCGCTTAGCCACTAATGTTAAAAAATGCGCGCAAAATTTCTGCATAAAATGGTATATCTTCCGGAGCGCTACACGCGCCCGTAAAAAGCGAAAAATCGAGTTTAATGCGGCGCCAACGCACCAAATTCTGCAAATTTTTGCGGGGGTAGCATGGCCATGCTTCAGGAGCCCAAATCAGGAAGCTTGCAAAAAAGAGCAAAAAGAAATTAGCTTTCTAAAGGTAGGCTGGGATCGATCTAGAGCCGTCCCAGCGCAAGGATCCCGACCCACTACCAATGCACCACAGCGACAGCCGAACAGGCCTGCAGCCAAATCGGCCCCCGGAGGCCACCCTCTCTCTTTTCCCCACTATCTCGCCTCCTCTCGCCTGTCTTATGAAAGAAAATAGCCGAATTTGGTGCGTTGGCGCCACATTAAACTCGATTTTTCGCTTTTTTACGGGCGCGCGTAGCGCTCCGGAAGATATACCATTTTATGCAGAAATTTTGCGCGCATCTTTTAACATTAGTGGCTAAGCGCTCTGAAGACCCGTAAAACTACTAATTCCGCGAAAACTGTTTTCACTACGCGGTATACCTATGTTCCTGCCATTTTCAGGTGTTGCAATGTATTAGAGTAATGATCTCCGTCCCAAATTATGTATTGTCGCAAAATTTCAGTAAAATCGGTTCAGTAGTTTTCGAGATAATTTTTCGGTGTCGGCGACTTTGAGGCCCATTTTAACCCCAAAATTAAACTTTTTAAACTTTAAAAATCATCCCACCCTACTAATTCGACCATGCTCTTTCAGATGGCGTCAAAAAACAGGGTCGAAAAAAACTGTGCCAAGCCTTGTTCGGGTCTCTCGCAAACGGCCTTTTAAGCCCGATTTTCTACCAAATTCGAACCGCTTTTCTCCTCCCTATAGAAAGACCAAGTACCCCCCCCCCCGCAAGCGATCGGAAAAGTGAACTAAAGCTTTTGGGGAAAAAGGAGAAAGGCGAGACTCGACTCCCTCGTGGGAAGAGGAGAACTTTGTGTTGACTGTTCGTTTTTATTTGAGTACCCTTTCGCGTAGACATGGGGCGCGGGCGGAGAGTAGTCTTTACGCACTTTTAAAGTCACTTCCTGTCAACATTTTTTTTGCGAAAAAGGGCATTTTTGATGCCGGGGGTCGGCGCTTAATTCGGAAAACAAGATTTGCATATTATTTTGCAAATCATAGTGCCAAAGGTGATTTTTTTCGAAAACGAGCTTTTCAAAACACTTTTTCGAAAAGTGATTTTCTAAAAACTATTTTTCGAAAGTCCTGCTTCCGAAAATCGGTTTTTTTTTGAAAATCAAAATATCGGATTTTCGGGAAATATGATTTTCGCCACAATTAGTGTAATTACCGCATCGACATTGGGTTTACACAGTACCGTATGGCGGTTGGCCCGGGGCATACGGTACTTGGCATGTGGCAAAAATTTGTCTGTAACGGTCCATTTTTAAGGACCGTAAATTTGTATATTTACTTACTTGAAGGGGTTTTCCGTTATTAAAACGTGTCCAAATATTTAGAAATTTTTACTAAGGATACAAAAATGTCAATTTTTTGACGAAAATTACAGATTGTAAGTTTTTTGATAAGTATTTATTTTAAAACTTGTAGAATATGATAAGTTAAATTTTACTAAAAGCAGTATTGGAATAGTCACTAGGTATTCCTGGCCGTCTAGAAAAAAATCGTTTCTTACAATTTCCCAAAAATGACACATTTTTAAAGCTATTAAAAAGTGAAAAACTGCTCTCCGCCCCCGGTCTGCTACAGTACACTCCTGCGCCCCCCCACCCCCGGCCGTCGGGACCAAAAAACCAAGGTGCTAAAGTTGTAGACGGGGAGGCAACATTGTAGTATTTGTTCTTGTCTGGCCGCCCTCATGTTCGGAATGTTTCCTTGAATTGGAAGACCAAAAAACGGTCAGGTGGAGGGCCAGCCAGACGGACGGGAAAGCTAACATTTCGGCCTCGAGCCCGACTGTGGTCATGTTTGGATACAGTACGACGACGCTTTTCCAAGCGACGCCCTTCCCAAAAATCGAAACGCTTTCTGGACTTTGAACCCGTGCGGGCAATTTGGGGAGGCGAGTAGAGTCCGTTTGGGGAAAAATTTATCTTTGCTTGGGTGGAAAGCTGGTACGGTTCATTGAGGAAGAGGGAGAAAGAGAGAGAGAGAGAGAGAGAGAGAGAGAGAGAGAAAGAGGGAGAGAGAGAGAGAGAAAGAGAGAGATAGGACATTTACAATTAGCTTAAACTTTGCAATTTCTCCTTTAACTCCTTTTTGCTGATGACTTGAAAGGTCCTTTAAAATGACTTTCAATTAGCTTAAACTTTGCAATTTCTCCTTTACCTCCTTTTGCTGATGACTTGAAAGTTCCTTTAAAATCACCGAATTCTAGTGACCGGACGTCGCGAGGGATGCAACCGAAGAACACGTGCCGAGGTGAAGCTCAGCCGGCAGGGGAGGACGGTCAACTGGAGAAAGGGACAGGCACGCGACCATCGAGAAATCTCCGAAGAATCTTCTGTGAACTCCATATCACCGTCATTAACTGTAAGAAATAATCATTGCTTTGAAAACCGAAAAATTCAGCTGGATCGGCCACTCTCCATGAGTCCGCCGCTCGAAAAAATGGTGCAATCGTTGATGACGTTAGAGAGGTAGGGTTGTTTGCGAAAACCGCAAAAATTAATTTAATAAAAATTCCTAGCTTTAGTTGATGATTACTTTCTAGATACTGCCTACATGAAGAAGATGAACAACTCAGCCAGGAGCACATTTTTAATCTGGAGTACAACCTGGATCTCCAATTTGTAGATGTATTGACGCGACAGGCTCCAGTTTGTTCGAGAGTTCCCGTGAGTTTTGGCTCTCTCTCACGCTCTGACTCTCTCTATCTCTCACGCTCTCACGCCTTCTCTCCCACTCTCTTCCTCTCCACCTCCCTCACTATCTGCCTGTCTCTATCTTATCCTCGGTCAGGCTCACTCTCCCTGAAGCTGATGCTCCCTCTAAACTAAGCGTTCTAGGTCGGCTTCGCCAACGCGAAGCACATGGAACTCCGACCGACCGACATTCTCCTGCGTGGAATTGCCAGATTGGTGCTCTATATGGTGGACTGGTTCCGAGCAACAAGGCAGATCTGGGAAATCTCGGAAGAAAGCAGGGTACGCTATATATATTGGCCTCAAGAGGATACGGTAGATCAAAACCGTCAAAGGGTATTTGAGGCCTGCTAAATCTTGTCCATTTTGTTGTGAAAGTTATCATAGTCGGGGTTTTTCTTCTTCTTCTACATCTCATTTTTCGATGTCTAGGGCTGATTTTCTGAAAATTGCTGGCTGGAAAATATTTGATTCAGCAAACTATATGTAAAATTACAAGCTAATTTTGGATTTGGTACTCCGAAAGCCGGAAAGTTTGATTTTTAGGGTAAAAAACAGTTTTTCCTGACAACGATTTTAGCTGGAAATTACGGATTTTTACCTGTTATCCGCGCGCTAACGGTACAACGCCATTATGACGCCATTCCAGAGTACGAAAAATCGTTTCGAAAAATTTGTATTAATTATATTTTTTGTATTATCTGTTTCCGCTTTTTCTATAGGTCATTTTCAGACGCGCTTCTGCGCCAGCCGCGTGCACATCCTTTTCCCCCTTATCGTCGCCTACTACACCTACAAGTACAGCTACTCGGAGTGCGTCTGCGGTCTCGGCTACCTCTTCAACCTGGCTGAATGTGATCCGTAAGTGCCATGGCTTTATGTGAGACATGTATAGCCCCAGGGCCAGCAACAACACCGTCTTCTTGTCACGGATGCAGGAGATGATCTTTGAGCACATTGTCGAGGTGTTCAGGGAGTTGGAGTTCACCGAGGAGGAGTTTGTCGTGCTCAAGAATATCGTCATATTTTGCAATCGTGAGTGGCATTTTTGGGTCTCAATATCTATGCAAATTTAGCCATCACCCTGAACGTGTCGGATGCTGATGCCCAAACGATACGCCAAGCCAGGCAGTTCTATGAGAACATGATGGTTAACGTTGGTTTTATGCTTTTACCGATTCAAAACCAATTTCAAGCGATTCAATTTTTTTGGGCTTTTTACCCGATAATTTAACAACGCCATTGCCATACATGATTGATGCCCCAACTACCATAACTTGCATAATATCACTTTCTATGATTTTAAAATTTTAGGAATTTAAAATATTTAAAAACAAGGCGAAATTCCGAAAAATAAAGCAACGCCGCAAATTTCGGGATTTTCAGAAGAGATCTTATGATTTTTGCGAAATATTGAGATGATCCTACTATATATAAAAAAATAGTCTGTGTGTTTGTGTGTGTGTGCCACTTTGCATCCACTTCCGTCTATCTGTCCGGAGGATATCTCGATAGGGGATGAAGTTACGGGTATGTTTGATACGTCATTAGGTGCGCAATGGTTTTGAGATGATTGCACACATATCAAATTTTACAAAATCAGCCATTTTCGACATTAAATTTAAGTTTTTGTGAAAGCTCCTTTGTTAGGAAATAATTAGCATAGACCGGAAGTGGTGATTCGGCTATATAAAGGGCCAGAAGAAGTTGTTTTTCATTTTTGTCATCTGAATCCAGGACAATTATGCAAAGTGGAGGATAAAATTGGGTCGGACGGGGCCAGGGTTGAAAAGTCGCGAAGCGGCTTTTCAACCCTGGTTAAAATGAATTATTTTTATTTGTGGTCTTTAATAGCTAGAAAATTAAACAGCTGGTCAATATATGGTCTGAGGAATACCGAGATACTTACAAAAACATTTTTTCAGCTCTGCCGAAGTCAAGGCTCCGATCCGGCCCAAGTCCGCGCGCGCGTCGTCCGGATTCTGGAGCTCTGCCAAGTGCTTACTGTCGGTTTCTAAGTCGTTACGATATCGAAAAGCTTATTTTCATTTTTAGACGGTTTTCAATTTTTTAGTGCGTTGAATAATCTGTTTTTTTGGTGATAATGTAGGGTATCTTACGTTATTTTGGTTTTAAAAATATTATTAATTTTTCTATAACTTTCTTATACTAGTATAGGGTTTTTTTCAGAACATGGGCGGCTTCAGCAAGGCGTTCCTCACACGAAAACTTCTCGACGACGCACCCACATTCCTGAGCCGTCTCGTTGCGGAGCTTCATGTAGCTTAAGATATCCAATTTTCTCGCCATATTCCCAAAGATTCTCCACCATTCTAGCCGCCCAATTGTTCGTTATATTTTATTATATTTGTTTTCCATATCCGCTCGATTCCATTTCACATCAATTTACATTTCCACAAAATTCCATGGCAAATACCTGTTCTCCCAGTGCATTTTGATTTTTTGAAGCTAATTTTAAGGCTTAGGCTGAGCTTGAGCTTAGGCTTGGCTTAAGCTTAACTTAGACCTAGGCTTAGCTTGGGCTTAATTTAGGCTTAGCTTAGGCTTAGCTTAGGCTTAGCTTAGGCATAGCTTAGGCTTAGCTTAGGCATAGCTTAGGCTTAGCTTAGGCATAGCTTAGGCTTAGCTAAGGCATAGCTTAGGCTTAGCTTAGGCATAGCTTAGGCTTAGCTTAGGCATAGCTTAGGCATAGCTTAGGCTTAGCTTAGGCTTAGCTTAGGCATAGCTTAGGCTTAGCTTAGGCATAGCTTAGGCTTAGCTTAAACTTCAACTCCGGCTTGTGCTTAGACCTCGGCTTAGCTTAGGTCTCAGCTCAAGCTTACTCTTCTGCTTTCCTTTCAATTCTATCCATGTATGCTTTTAACGATTTTAGTTGTTATCCCGTGCACATATACATCTCACTCCCCTGAACATCTCACTGCCCCCCTCGCCCAAGTACCGTCTCTGTTACTGTGTTTTTTTTCTTTGCTTGCTACCCTCGACAAACAGCCATTTTGCCGCATTTCCATAGTATATTAAATCAATTATATCAATTATTATTTAAGCTGCTTTTCCCGTTCCGACCCAACCTATGTACATACTGCTGGAGTGTCCCCGGGTTCGCTTTGTGTAATAAAGCAACGAATGGTCGATGGAATGTGGAAACCACAATGCAAAATTTGCATAAAAAAGCGAGACAGCGATAGCGAGAGAGTGACAGAGAGAGGGAGATAGATAGAGAGACAGACTGGGAGAGCGAGAGAGAGAGGGAGAGAGATTGAGAGAGACAGACAGAGAGAGCCAGACAGAGTGAGAGAGAGTGAGTTAGAGTGTGAAAAGGAGAGAGAGAGAGAGAGAGAGAGAGAGAGAGAGAGAGAGAGAGAGAGATCGAATGAAATAGAGCGAGATTCAGAAGCAAAAGCTTGATAAAAAAAGGTGAAACTGTCCTCCAGGTAGTAACAACCAAATCACTTAAATTGCCATATCATACAAATAATGTTCAATTGGTGCTATGCTATTTTGCAAGCTCCCTAATGTTTCAATTTTTTCCATCTCACTCCACGGGACCTGCCTCCCCAACTGGTCGATCACGCATACCCGAGAGAAGTGTGAAATTTGTCGAAATCCCCGGGAAAAATGGGGATGTGATGAAGGGCGGGGGGGGTGGATGTGATATGGCTGGATGTGATCTGGAAGAGAGAAGGATGGACTGCCCCAGTCATAATAGTTTTCTTTTCCTTCATCCCCCCTTCTCTCGACACCACGCACCCGTTATGGATTTCGAGGCGGTCTGCTGAGACGGCCACCGTTTTTTAATCTAGAATTTTACTGAAATTTAAGGCAATTAGAAGCGCCGCAAAAGACGGTTGTATTCGCTAATTGCCATCTGCCCTCAAAACGGTCAATTTTGACGTAATTAGCATATTAAAGGAGCTGTAAATCGCAGAAATCTTAGGGTAGAAACGCGACAATCGACCGCTTTCGGTGCTGGGCCTCGATAACAACGTGATACCCAGAAAAGCGTCCGCAAACGCTTTAAACTTTCCAAAAACGCAGCATTTGTCACGTTTTTCCAATGGATACGATTCCCGTCATTTGGCACCTTTCGTAGCCGTGGTTGCGGTTTGACGCCTTATATTTTTTGGCTTCACGTCCCCTTTAAAATTTTCGGGCCCAGGCCAACTATACGCCATTTATGAAATTATTAAAGCGTTTTTTAGCGACTTTTCGAGTGTTTCAATGATTTCCGAATTCGATTCGGCGTACAGTATGAATCACTGCACCCTCCACCATCCTTGCCCTCCATCCCTTACAATAGTATAGGCGGGCTTAAAATTCCTGTGCACCCAACTGAAACGCAGCAGGACGCAGTTTTTGAGTGCAGCAAGATGCAAAATCCGGGATTGGTCTTGCGACGCGGGGACCTTTCGGTGTCGAGTGGGATTGGCTGCATATAAAATTCCCTGCGTTTGAAGGGATAGAGTAAACCGTTTTGATAAGATACCTACAGACTAAAACGAATCATTTTTTGCTTTTCTATACAAGTTTGTGTTAGTGAACCTTTTGGCTAGCTTAGACACGGAATTTTTGCTAATTATTTGATTTTTTGGAAGACTAAAATTTACTTTTGAATTTCGGAAACGACAAGTCTTGAGTAAAGATTGCTAGGTATCTATTTGGTAGCTTAAAGGGCTGGTTCAGCCAATAAAATAAAAGAATTTTCGCGGCCAGGAGTCGAACCCTCTCTGAGTTTTTGTGTCTGCGCCCCTCTCATTTCCCCGATCTCTAATAGCTGTCGTAATGGGGGACTGTTTGGGCGCACTGTGCCTACGTCCATAGTTTCCCAAGGTACCAGCCCAAGCTCTAAAAGTTGACTAGCCCTTTAAAGAGTATATAATGACTGCTGCACCCATTCACTTTTTCCAATATCGCGCATGGAAAATCAAATGTAAAGGACCAAAATATCTAGATCGTCCTTCTATTTCCGGCTCTTTCCACTCGCCGACAACACGTCATTTTAGTATCGTGCTCCTCTCCAGTAGTAAAAAGTGGAACCCATTGAAACCATCTCCCAAGAGCGGTGCGGAGCTAAAACTTGGACCGCGGGTTCAAATTTGTCCCCATCCCTCGTCGGCTTATGGCCTGGCCGAGGCGACCTTGAACAGGATCTGTGGAAGTTATGGGGAGAATTTGATATAAAATTGCATGGAGGTCCGCGGGGTGTTGGTATTGATAATCGCGAAGTTTTCCATGATCTGTTGTTCTGGAGTTATTAAATTCGAAAAGATCGGCTCAAATTGATCATTAATGGTTTTAAAACTTGGGCCAAAAGTTCTAATCATAATCTATGGTATGAAATGTTAGAATTATTGTTTTCAATCTTACGCTATTTTGGAATTCTGTAATCTATTCATTTTCTTGAAAAAAAGTACGAACGTTTAAACACCGACACCTAAAATGCCGACCGCGAGGTGGCTCAATCAGCTAAATCTAAAATCATAAATTTCAATCCGGGGAAGCTTGTCGGCATCTTCGTTGTCGGCATTCTGGCTGTCGGCGTTTTTACTGTCTGGATTCTGAAGTCGGCATTTTCACTATCGACATTCTGGATGTCCGGTTTTCACTCTCGGCATTCTAGATGTCGTCGGCGTCGTCATTGCCGACTTTCTGGCTGTCGGCATTTTTACTGTCGGAATTCTAAATGTCGGCATTTTCACTGTTCGCAACCCATTTTTCAGTTTTTGAGTTGTCGGCATTTCTATTGTATGCTTCCCAGCAGTCAGCGCCTCTGATTACTTTTTTTGGCTATCCTCGTGTCGGCACCATTTCAATGGCCTTACTCTTGTCCTTTTTCCTGATTTCCATTTTTTTCAAACTACCCTTAATTTTAAAAGCCTGGCCGCATTGTCACGACAAAATCTCATCAGTCCGGGCTAAATCCGGAAATTCACGTGTACCGTACCACCTACCAAAGATCAGATCACTTCACGGCCATCAACGATCCCATTTTAGGTGATACTAAACCCGAGCACTACGCGACTTAACGGTTTTACGACCCCAAAAAATCACCTCAGCGTCGCCAGGATCGGGGTGGACTCGGACCCGGGAAAGGTGACGTGATCCTCAATCGCTATTTGGTCGGGCACAGCTATAAATTTGGGGGAGCGAATTCGGATACCGTACCCAGAAATGCTGGGCGAGGCGCAAGACCGGAGTCTCGGCAATAAAACCTCCTCCTCCCGGGCGGTGCGGTATAAAGGTGAGCAGCACTGGACGGTGGTGCTGGTTACTGATTTGTTTTGAGCATCACGGTTTAATGGGCTCAGCAAGGCGGAGTGGGATACAGTAGTGTTTCTCAAAATCCTTTAATTGAATTTTCGTGGGTTTTTTGCTGCTACTCTTTGTTAAAATACTAATAAGCTTAGTAAATTACCAGATGCAAACTTAGGCGCAGGCAGCTTCTCTGCAGCGGTCGTTTAGCGCAGTTAGGCTGGAGTTTCGATCACAATCCCGACAATGAAAATTTACGAAAACAGGCCGCACGACGCTAAACAGTAATAAGCCCGCGAGCCAGTGATTAGAGATACCGATCCTTTAATTGCTTAATATTTACATCCTAGACATTCAATATATTCTTTTCGTTTCAATGCCAATTTTTCTTTCTTTTTTTTATGGTGCTAAACAACTATTTTGCTTTACCAAAGCTTGGCTGTCTAGGTTATAGCTGTCGGAATTTTAGTTATCGGTTTTTTTCTGTCGTTTTGTCGTTTGCTTCTTCTTTTAATTAATAACCAGGGTTGAAAAACCGCTTCGCGGCTTTTCAACCCTGGCCCCGTCTAGGACCGATGAAAGTCTTCAATTTGCATGCTTCTTCCCCAAAATCTATCAGCAAAAAGTGAAAAACGGCTCCTCTGTCGCTTTATATAGGCTATCCGACTTCCGGCTTATGCTAATTGATCCCTAACAAATAGGATGGGCGAGAATTTTACAAAAATTTGTTTTTAATAGCGAAAATAGCAATTTTTCAAAGATTTTATGTGCGTGCAGTCGATTCCGGATCCTTCTTTACCTAATTACGTTTCTTCACTACCGAAACAATGCTTCCCTGAGGCTGTAGGTGCGGAACATCCTCACGGAAGTTGCATGCAAATGCACACACACACAGACACTATTTTTTTTATATATAGTAGGACCAGCGTTGGCGAGGGCAGTTTATGAAGCACATTAACGTTTTTTTAGACGCTTCTTCCATTCCAAGCTCAAATTTAAATCACTATATCGACAGTAATAGTGAAGAGTTTGAATCAAATCGTTTTCTTTCTGAATAAAATTGCAGAGTCCAAATTGCCAGTGAAAGTCTTAAATGGTTGCAACTTAAATCGGCATTTTAAAGGTTGCTATTCGTATCTTTTTGAGGTACTTGGTCTCATACTCGTTTTCACAATCTGTCACGCTACCAAATTTGCTAAATTCCCCCAGACAGCCAAATCCCCCATAATTAGCAACTATTCTTTGTTTTCATGACACCATAGAGCTTCTCTTACGAAATGCAGGATCTATACACCATGAAAACAGGAGTAATGCGCGGAAAATCCGGTAAGCGATCGGCCGGCTATCCTCAGCCCGCCCGTTTTACACGCCCTGGGTTTTGGGCGGACGACGTCATTCCCGGGGCAGTGGCTAGGTGTCGCGGCGAGGGGAAATGTCCCAAAAATACACGATCATCACTGCCGGTTTATTTCGGGACGGTCAGACGGGTTAAGCTCTTTTAATAGCCCCCCGCCGGCCGAACACCGGAACTCAATTTACATAAACACCTGAGTCCGAGCCGTTCGGAGCATTTGGACAATTTCTGTCCTTTTGTCGGTGTTGTGACCTTCAAAAGTTTCTTTATTTGAGAAAAATTGCTTAACATTTTTAGATGTAATTAATACCTTATTATGCCAAAAATCTTTAAGAAAATCCGATACCATTAGAAACGCTTTTTTGTGCGCGAAATTTGCATTACCAGGCCTTGAGTTAACTTTTTGTGTCCTATTTGGAACTGGCAATTTTTTTGACTAGGAGAAACCTTCAAAATTTTCTGGCTCCCTTTAATGCACAAATTTACCCGCCAAACTTGTCTAAGGTAATCGATTCTAAGGCACTGGATATTGATTTAAAACCGATACCTCTCTCATGCTCGCAGTCAGTCACTCTCAGTCTCTTTCGCTCTCTCTCTCTATCTCTATCTATCTCTCTCTCTCTCTCTCTCTCTTTCTCTCGCTCTCTCTTTCTCTCTATCTCTCCCTCGATCTCTCGCTCTGTATCGCTCTCTGTCGCTCCCTAACTCCCTCGCTATGTCTCTCCTTCTCTTTTGCACCCTTCTCTCTCTATCCCTGACCAACCCTTTAACTCTACCTTCTGCGATATCTTACCTTAATTCACTTCCGAGCACTCTATAGCACGAGCTCCATGCATTGCTGCTGCTCTCTCCTGCGAGCATTAGCTCTGAGGCCCACAAGCCGTCACTATCCCTTTAAGAATATTGGCATGATTTTGATGTGTTCAGAGAAGTTTTTGTAGTTTTCAGATTGTGTTTTACGTGTTTTTTTGTCGCACTAATGCGGTGCCTAAACATTTTTCAACATCTGTCTTGCAGAATCCACATCCAGGGTCAAGACCCCACCATCGTTCCACGGACCCATTCAACCCACGGGGTGCGGTTCGCAGCAGAGACCGGCCATCAATCAGCAGACATCGGTTCGCTAGTCTCGACGATCCTGGTGTGAAAAGCCGGCGAGCTAAGCAAGAGAAAAAGAGCGATAAAAAGAGATGAAGGAGGACCCGGTCAGTGACAGTCTCGCTCGATAAAAACCATCATTCCCACCCCGATCCCCTATCAACAATCGTCGCGACCAAAATCCCACGCGATCAGGGCAGGGGCAGAGAGACTGTGGGGAAGGGATGGCAAAGGCTAAACGACGCGAGATCAGACGCGTAGAACTGGAAATTGGGTACAGTTGGTTCGGAACCAGAAACCGATCGCATCACTCAGCGAACATCAATGTTAAATGGCCGCGAAAGTACGGAAATTTGCTTTTCCTGGTAAGAGTTTACTTTACCCCCCACAGCCGAAGGCCCCAAGTTTTCGGTATTTTCGCTTATTTTGTCGGGATTTTTGCAACGCCATTCGATAGAGCTTCGAAAAATACACTAAGAGTTTTAATTTGAGCCGACAATAATGTAAAATAAAAAAGTTATAGCCAAAAACTTCCGGCTGGGGGTAAAGTAAACCGTAGTCCTTCTCACCATCTAGCCTGCTACGTGTTAGAAAAATTGCGCTTTCCAGCCCATTTCACTTTTTGTAGAGAGTGCAAAACGATATGGAGTGAGAGAGAGAGATAGAGAGAGAGAGAGCAAAGCAGAGCGAGAGAGCGAGTAGGCTAGATCCATAAAGATATATGGTGTATTTCATCAATTTTCGCGCTTTTGAAGCTTCTCAGTCCCTTTAAAAGCGCAACTGCGACTGCGCGACGACCCCTTTAATCCCCAAATAGCATATTTTACAAAATTGGCAGAACGTTGTCTATACTTTGTTTTCAGGCCCACGCCCTTCAGCACTCGCGGGCCCCGTCGCCAATTCTGGAGGTTGACGATGAGGCGAGTAGCGTGGAAAGTGTCGTAGCTGCTCCGCCACAGGACCCGTTTCCGGTCCAGGCGTCTTCTGACACCACAGACTCCAAAGGACTGGTCGGTTGCTTTGAGCCTACTGACGATATGGATAGTTTTAGGCGGCTGTCGCCTCGACTTCTCAGGACTTGCCGACAAGTGAACCGAAAAGTGTCGAGTCGGACTCGGAAAACCAGCACCACCCTGCCGCGGCGAGGAGGAGCAGCTTTTTGGGCCCGAGGTAGGAGCAAAATGACTTGTAAAAGTATTTTTTCGAGGCGTAGGTAGTACCGTCTTGGTTTTTGGTATTCCAGAATTATCGACATCATTTCAGCTGTATAAACGTAAAGAATTCAAACGTAAAAAACGTAAAAAACGTAAAATCGTAAGCGCAACAATTATGCCGATTTTTTTTAATACGAAGCAATTCACAAAGTTTTTTCAGAACTTGAAGTAGTGAATCATATTTCTAGGGGTCTCATCGCTCGACAGATCTCATTCGGGAGCCCGGAAACGGGCAGAAGAAGCAGGTTGACGTCGGAAACTGCCGATGATGAAAAGTATTGCCATTTTTCTTTGCCAAATCACCCCATTTAGACCACCTCTCTCAGCCCCGGCTACGATGCAGAACAAACTACAGTTCTTGGGCCAGCATGGCGGAAGTTTTGATGATGACCAGAAGTAGGCCTAACGAGACCAATAAAGAAAGTATAATTTTCACTTCCAGGGCCGTAGAACAATACTATGAAAATAATCACTATTCCGTGACTGGAGGAATGTATGCAAAAAACACGGATACGATGAATCGGATACCGGCGAATTATCAGAAGATCTTGAGGGATTTGAGACACCGGTAAGTTAGTACTTTGGCCTTTCTCTCTCTCTCTCTCTCTCTCTCTCTCTCTCTCTCTCTCGCTCTTCCTAAACAGTTATTTTAGCGAAATGTCCATCGGAAAGCAATCCACCGCCTCGAATAAATCGAAAGTCCTACCGATACCTGGATCTAATGAAAATCGTATGCAAATTTTTAAGAGCTCTTTAAGTTGGCTTTAGGTTTTGCCAAATCTTTCTATTGGCTGGCACATCACCATAAAAATATTGGACTTCGCCATCTTTCTATGTTTACCCTCGTCGTAATCTACGCATTAGTGGGCGGATTGATCTTCGCTGCCACAGAAATTCCGGCGGAGCATGAGGTGAGAACGAGCGAGAGAGAGAGACATAGAGAGAGAAAGAGAGCTAGTGAATAAGAGAGAGAAAGAGAGAGAGAGAGAGAGAGAGAGAGAGAGAGAGAGAGAGAGATAGTGGGAATGAGAGAGAGGGAGGCAGAGAGAGGCATAGAGAGAAAGAGAGCTAGTGAGAAGAGGGAGAGAGAGAGAGAGAGAGAGAGAGAGAGAGAGAGAGAGAGAGAGAGAGAGAGAGAGAGAGAGGGACAGAGAGCCTAATCCGTTGATTTAGCAAGTCGCCGGCTACGTTAAGAAACTCGACGAGACCCTAACCGTCATCGCCAACGAGATCTTCGTCACAATTCAACAGAACGCTACTTCGTTTTCGGAAGTGGATGGCATTAAGCAATATTTAAAGGCAAGCGCAGGAAATTCGGATCTTCAAGAAGAATCTAGGACTCCTACATCCAACTCCTTCAAGCCGAGGAGCGATTTTCGGGCTCAGCTTTTGAAAAGGCTAATGATGAGTCGAAAATGTTGTGGAACTACTGGTCGGCCACGTTCTATTCGACGAATATTTTTATGACCGTCGGATACGGTAAGATCATTTAAGATCATTTTCATTTGTGTATCTCTCGTGCGCTCTTTCGCTCTCTCTCTCTCTCTCTCTCTCTCTCTCTCTCTCTCTCTCTCTCTCTGTCTTTCTCTGTCTCGATGTTTCTCTCTATCTCTCTGTCTCTCCGTCTAGCTCTCTCGTTCTATCGTTTACCTTGTTATTTCAGGTGTTATCGCCCCACTCACCGACCTCGGGCGTGTCATCACCGTAATCTACGCCGTGATATTCATTCCGATCTCAAGCGTCGTATGCCGTGACCTGGGCCAATGGATGCTCGTCGGATTAACGAAACTTTATGCTAGGCTGCTGATAAGATGGAGGTGAGGAATCGTATTTTCTCGTTATATCTCGTGCTCCATAACTACACATCTCTCGCGTCATCTCCCTTTCACGCTCTCTCTCTCTCTCTCTTTCTCTCTCTCTCTCTCTCTCTCTCTCTCTTTCTATCTCTCCGTTTCCCTCACTTTTCCATGAAAAATAAGTTTTTTTTCCAGAACCGCGCGTGGTGTCGACACCCGTGAAGATGAGGACATCGTGCTCCCGATGAAATTTGCTGGTTTGACGGCAGTAGGTACGTATTGAGCGAAGAAGAGATAGCTAGGGGAGAGTGAGAGGGAAAGAAAGAGAGATAGAGAGAGAGAGAGAGAGAGAGAGAGAGACAGACAGACAGACAGACAGACAGAGCGTGAAGACGACTAATTGCGTACTTCAGTATACTGGTTCTTCTGTGCACTACTCACCTGGTACTACGATGATATAATGGGAGAGCCGGGAACCGGGATGACGTACTGGGCATCTGTATACTTCTCTTTCATTACCTTGACTTCTGTTGGGCTCGGAGACTTGATGCCGAACAATGTTACTGTAAGTTTTTTGCATATGTGAAGAAAGCGAGAGCGTGAGAGAGAGCGAGAGAGAGCGGGAGAGAGAGCGAGAAAGGGGCTCATGCTCAAATCCGCCTGATTACAGCGATCACCACTCCAAAAAGTCTGGTACTTCCTCGGTCTACCCGTGTTCAAAGTGGTGAACAGGATGACTTACGTCTCCCTGGAAAATGGTGTCTTTGGTACCCTGACGGTACTGGAGAACAAGCTGGAGATGTGGAACCAGGACGACAAGGTAAGTAGATGCTTTATATTCTCAAAAATGCATTTTTCTCGCATTTTTATGAGTAGGATTTACATATTCTTTCAGGTGGTACCGAAATTCGATCGTGGAATGTCGAATGGGGCCTCATTACCTCAGGTGCCTGCTCTCTCTCTCTCTCTCTCTCTCTCTCTCTCTCTCGCTTTTTCTCTCACCTCCCTCTCTCTATTCATCTCGATCTCTCTCACCCTCTATCACATTTTTTTCAGACTACCCTGACTGGTTTCCCATCCGATTCGGAAAACACCGTGACATCTGGAAAAGTGCGAAGACGAGACTCGCTGCGGAGCAGGGCTACAGTTGTGAGTAATTTGCATACTCGCCATTAGTGAACCATTAATCCTTCAAGAGAAAAATTATAGCTGTGGTATAGGGCTGATAATAATGCTTTGAATTTCTATAAGCTGATCCCGTTTCAGGAGGAGCAAGAAGCTCTCAACGAGCACTTGAACAACTTCACCGTCAAGTCCATCAAGCAGTTCATGCAATCACGGGGAGATGTCTATGGTGGAGACTTTGGCAGGGTGAAGGTGACGAAGGCCCAACTGGACTCGTTGAAAGATGACCCGAAAGTGTAGTAGAATTAAATGATTTTCAGTTTTTTTTTGTACTTCCAGGTTTCATTACGTGATGTGATTGTCAAGGGGCTTACAAGCCAAATCGTCCCCTATGCTTAGCGCCTCTTTTTTCGTTTTATGAAAACAAATTTTGGTCCAAAATCGGGCCGCTTTCCGGGAACTTTAAAGCGATCAGGAAGACCCAGGAAAAATTAGCATAAACGGGCTTTAGTTCTAAAACTAGATAAATCTTCTCCGCTCATATGCTCCGCGTCGATGCTACGTATCTCAGGTCCTCGGGTCCATTCAAAATCCGGTTGTATTCCACCTGGATTTGGGGTGGAACGCATGAAAATCGGCTGGATTTCGGGTGGACGCACAGGCATTCGAGTAGACTCACGACGCAACGCGTGCCGCACGCGACGCGGCGAATGGAAATCGAGTGAAAACCGGGCGGATCCGATCGATTTCCAACTGATTTACCGCGCATCCACCCGCAATCCGGTCGATTTCCACGTGGAATCCGGTCACGTCCGCTACTGGAATTCCGATCGATTTCGCGAGCAGACGCAGACCGGATTTTGGGTGGACCCGAGGACCTGAGATACCAAGGCGTCGTCGGGTTAACATGCAAATCAGGATGCAAAGTACAGAATCAGCTCGATGAAACGATTTTTTTTGCGCTTTGCATCCTAATTTACATGGTATCCCGACGTCGCGTCAGTATGCGTAACATATCTACTCTGCTCCCCCCTGCCCCGCCCCCACTATTTGCCCATTTCTTGCATTAGCATTTCCGGTTGGCTCGTTGCCAATTAGAGGGGACCCCCGATCTACTGGGCCTTCCTGAACCCTTTAATGACTCAAAAAAAAGTTAACTAAAATAACATTTGAACCGCTTAATTTGCGTTTTTAATTCATGCTTTTTGCTTATTTCTAGCGTCAATTTTGTCCTTTTTTCGCTAGCTCATAGCCCTTGCAAATACGTGTCTTTTTCCCTATCATGGTGCTTCCACTTTTCCGGTGCTCATTCTAAAATCGCCGGTGCTCTGTAGAATTTTCAGGTGATAAAAATTTGCATAAAACTGGTTTACAAAAAAAATCGCATTGAGCATTGCTAAGGTATTTGTACTTAACAAAAATACAAATTCAAGCAAAGAAAATTTACAGTCAGTAGCCAACCGGACTCGGGGCGTCCTGTGCTTTGGAGCGATCGATTTTTGGCAAAACGGCCGCCTGACTAAACTCCAAAACGATCGTCTTTCGAGGGGTTTTTGAGCTGACGAGCCTTTCGAGGTAGAAGGCGTAGAATCTGCTTCGGAGTTGTCGATTTAAGAAGAGACCGATGTAGACTTCGGAGAGACAAGCGAGGTCGTAGATGAGGCTTGACTAAAATTTTTCATAAACCCTCTCGTGATCGCTTTCGGATCTAAATTTTGTAAAATTTGTTTTATAGCTACGCTTTTTGAATTCCACAAAAGCTGATAAATTGCCTACATAGACTTATTTTTTACAAAATTATCAGGTTGGAACGAAAGTTCTGTCGCCGAGATTTTGGAGGGCTGGCTAAATTCGTAGATAGCTCCATTCTGCACATGCGATATGTCATTTTGTAGCTCTCGATCTGAATCGTTCCGGGAGGAGGGTCCTGGGCCCTCAAAATCAAGTATGGCCGAGATACAGGCTCTAGAAGTTTTTCACAAAATCACCGAAAAGGGATTTTGCAAGTGATCTCTGCATAGAGCGATTTGCATACGATACCTTTAACGCCAATCGATAGATCTCAAGGAGTAGATATCGATAGATCTTGAGATCATCAAATTTGGACACTGGATCGCCAAGATACGGCCTCTTGAAATTTGGCCCATTCCTTAGAACTTTTCTCGATTTCCCATACATTTCAAACATTTGACGGACAGGTGCCGAAAATTACCGCTTTATTTTTGGACTAGCGACGCGGATTTTGACAAAATGTATGGGATTTCGGGAAAAATTCTAAGAAATGGGCTAAATTTCAAGGGACCATATCTCGGCCATCCGGTGTCCGATTTTGATGGTCTCAACATCTATCGATATCTACTCCTTGAGATCTATCGATTGGCGCTAAAGGTATCGCATGCAAATCTCTCTATGCAAAGATAACTTGCAAAAACGCTTTCGCGTAATCTTTGAAAAATCTTCTTGGGCCTGTATCTCGGCCGTTCTTGATTTTGAGGGCCCAGGACCCTTCACCCGGGACCATTCAGACCGAGAGCTACAAAATGACATATCGCATGTGCAGAATGGAGCTATCTACGAATTTAGCCGGCCTCCCAAAATCTCGGCAACAGAACTTTCGTTCCAACCTGATAGCATTCAAAATAAATTATTTTCGTGTCAGAAAAATTGCGTTTAAAGGTACAGTCCGCTGTCGTTTGAATGGTGGAAGATCTTACAAGACAAATTGTGTTTTAGAATGCTGGGTTACGGTAGGTGCTAAAAGTCGGGCAAAACCGAACCCGGGACGCTCGCCTGGGGTAAGCGCTTTAGACCACTCGGCCATGGGAGAGACGGGAGAGGGGGAGGGGGCGAAGGGGCCGAAGAGCTATGAAGGGTCGGAGGCCAAGGCCGCCGGACAGCCGAATCCATGCCGCCGACCTGGGGGTTTTTTTAACGAGCGAGGAATGTACCTTTAAGCAACGTAAACGGTATGGTCGATACTTTTACTTTAAAAGTAGAAGTTTTCTGCCGTTTTATCAGTGTTTAGACCTACCAAAAATGCTACAAACTCGGTGAGACCGCTGACGATCGTTAGACACCTCTGAAAATTCACATTTTCAAAACAAAAATTCGGTAATTCTCAACTAGACCGAGTTTCTGAACCACAAACGCAAAATACAACCACTTTTCTACTCACCAAAAATATTAGCAACGTCAGCTGGACGCCCAGGTTCGCAACACAAATCAGGAACAGGTGGATTTCGATGGCGAAACCGGAAGCGAATCTGGAACTTTCAGGTTATGGAGAATTTAGGTGACCGATGCTCACTTTTTGCCCCTTATTCGAAAGTATATCATCTTGGAGACGGTAGCCAAATTAATGGCAAGGGAGATACCAGGGAAGATCTCGGATAGACGTCCCATATTTGGGTTGGCGACGGCCATTTGCTGCAAAAAAGCAGAAATAAGGCCTCACGCTCCCTCTCTCTCTCTCGCTCCGTCTCTCTCTCTCTCGCTCTCTCTCTCTCTCTCTCTCTTCTGGCTCCCTCTCTCGCTTTCTCTCTCTCTCTCCCTCTGACTCTTTCTCGCTCTCTCTCTTCCCTCTACCTTGGCCGCCTCTAGCGTCAGCGTCGGATACCCCCCCCTCATCAGCTTCATACAAATTGTTCACGCTGAAGTTTTCATAAGAGAATGCGACTCCTATACATAAGCATAACAATCCAGCAGCTATAATAAACCAAGTAGTCCAGATCTAAAGAATATATTTTCACTGCAGAAAATACTGTATTGTCAAAATTCCGCAATTAAATTTTCATGGCGTTTAAATTCCTGTAATTTTGTAATTTAATAGAATTGAATAGCAGGATACCCAAAATTCGTCCTTTCAGTTAATTTTGGATTGGCGGCTACGCTACACTCCAAATGACGCGTATCAATTTTGCCTACGTCCATGTGAAAAAGCAAGAAAAAGAGAATTTTTAAAGACTATGCGACGTTTTCGTGGTTTACTATACCTTTAAAGTGAAACAACTAACGCGATTATGCATAAACGGCATCCAGATTATCGTGAATCGATTCAGATGTAACAAAATCGGATTTAAATTTTGTGTATAAATAGCAGTAATATAGAAGGTAAAAAAGACGCGATATGGCGTGAATGACCTCTCGATGCCGACGTACCATCCGGAGAATATTGTTAATTCACGTAATTTGAAGGTGATGAAATAATTGAGGTATGTAATTAGGTTCTGAAAACAGTATTCAATTCATTTTTCGTAAATATTAGATCCAGATTAGAACAAATTAATCGAAAAAGCTGATAAAACTCACCACGACTATCACTAGCAGGTAAACCTTATAGAACGAGCTCTCCATTAAGGCCGGACTTTTTAATAAGCATATAATTGTTAATATTACCAAAATAGCTGAAGGGATACCATAGCTTAGGTAGATTAAAAATTGATCCAGCATTTTTTGTGAGATTCTGAAAAAATCGCTACCGCGGGGAGGACGCAGATCCGGGCAAGACGCATCAAAAACGCAGAAAAATTATGTATCATCTCCAGGGACTATCGTTTTTTGTCCCGTGGAACAGGGTCAAAATAACGGATTTTTTAGCTGTTTTTCGAATCTGTGAAATCGATTTTTAGAATCCGTGAGGAAAAATACCAAATTGAAACTGAAACTGAGTTCAATAAAAAGATTTTTTGAACTGTCTGAAAACCTAAAGTCAGGAAGTTCGCTCTCAAAAAATCACAAAAAAAAGCAAATCTTTTTTCGAGCTAAAGTACCAGAAAAAATAAATTCGCAGACGTCAAAAAATGTACAATCCTCGGTCTAGGTAGAGTATCCCTGGGGATGGGCCTGTTTTTCAGAGAATCGAAAGGACTGGAACATTTGGAATTCCCTAGTTTGATGAATAGTGTACCAGCCGAGACGCGTAAAAAAAGTATCTAAAACCCAACGAACGCGTTTCGAACTTAATTCCGAAGCGTGGTCAGGTGGAAAGGGCTCCAAATCAATCTTCTCCACATTTTTTGACAACGACTTGAATGAGACACGGCACTAGTGCTGTACTTCGTATACCAGTCGTAGTTTAGTGGTTACAGGCAACAGTCATTCGTCAAAAAAAGTATAGGTAATTGAAGAAGCGAATAACAATTAGCAGAGAGAGTCATCGAGGGAGAGAGAGCGAGAGAGGCAGAGAGAGACAGGGAGAGAGAGAAAGAAAGACAGCGAGAGAGCGTGAGAGAGTGAGAGAGACAGAGACAGACCGACAGCGACAGAGACAAACGAAGAAAGAGGGAGTGACAGAGAGA